AAATATTAATTTACACAGTGGCTGTTAAAAAATGCCTAAACTGTACATAATTCCCACATTAAAAATCTGTATCTGTAATTGCAGTTCATTTTTTTAGGCCATTTGACCAAGAGATTAGTTAAGACTAGTTTTTACTGTTTACATGAGTAAAAATGTTTTTAAACTAACTTTTTTCTGTTGTTGTTGTTTTTTAGCAACCTTGCTGCCAGATTTATTATGTGTTTTTAAAAATGTATATATATAGAATTATATAATTCTTGTTGTTGTCGTTACTACAGTGCAGGGTTTGTTACTGGGGTCACTGATTGTCTTTTCTTTTTCTTTTTTCTTTTTTCTCTCTGTAAACCTGATTTTAGTCCCGAAGTGAAGCAGATCGTCCACAAGACTGTAAATTTATCTGCAGTCAGACCGTTTATTTGAAGTTTGATACAAAATAAACAAGACTGATGAGAAACAGGCTTTCAAACGCACATTATTTAAACATAAAGAGTCGCACAGACGGCTTGTTTGTATGCGCACACCGTGTCTGGCTGAGTCCACTGGCCTGGACCGAGGACTGAGTCTGGCACCGCAACGACTCTTTCATTAAACACCGATGAAGTGAAGAGGAGGCGGCGCACCGAGGCTGTGAACCCGTAGTAAATCTCTCTCTCTCTCTCTCTCTCCCTCTCTCTCTCTCTCTCTCTCTCTCTCTCTCTCTCTCTCCCCCAGTCTCTCCCTCCCTGCCTCCCCCACTCGGGTTTGAGGAGATCTCTCTTGGAGCTGGAGAGGAGAGGTCCGCCGTCTCTCTCCTCCAGCCGCCGCCGGGCTTCTTCTCTGCAGCCTCCCGCCGCTTCATCATGGATCTGGGGACTAAAAGAGTCGCTGGGATTATCGCTCGGGTCGCCCTGCTCCTCTCCTGCTCGTACGGGACAACCGGAGAAGGTGAGCCGGCTGTGCGCTTCTTTACTTTTCCCGGAGGAGACGCAGCGAGTCCGGGGCAGCGCAGCCCCGGAGAGGAGGCTTTCAGCGCGCCTTCAGCCCTCTGCTCACCGCGGTAGAAACACAGATGACTGAATTTAGTCGCATTTCACTTTTTTCTCTCTTTTATTAACTCCTAATTCTGAAGAACTAATTATTCTTCTTATGTATTTGAATGCAGTGGCATTCAGCGCGTCCTGGTTGCGCACCGGCGCTGCTTGCAAAGTGAATTTCATCTTTTTTCTTACAGCAAGGAAACGTTAATCCTGCATATTTAAAAAACCAAAACAACAACTTTAACGCAATAATCTTGCCGTATTTCATTTATTTTCCTCTATTTCCACACTCACTGTAATCATAATTCTACCTGAAAACCTCATGATTTTAGGATGCTGCTGGAAAAAGCAGGTTTCTACTTCACAGAACTGAACGTTCTTCTGTTAAAGGTGTCAGCTGTGGGTTTTGAACCTCTATAGATTGGAGAAAAAAAAGCAAAACAACTAAATGTGGTATAGAAGATTCATCTTGTTGCATTCTGGTTAATTTGGTGCTCAGTGCAACGTGAGGATGGTATTGAACTACATTTGTTGTTCACAGTCTCCAGAGACACTGTGAAGGTCTGTGAGAGAGAGAGGAGGGTTTGGATCTGAGAGGTTGCTGGTTTGAGTCTGTGTGATGCAGGATTACTGATGTGCCTCTGACTCACGCTGGGCTCCAGCGTCCAGGTCTGAAGCTGTGTGGGAATGTGAAGCTGGGCGTTGCAGAGAGAAAGGGAGGGAAATCCGAGGAGAGAGAAGGACCGAGGGAGCAGAGAGGGGGAGATGACGTATGCTCGTATGTAATCCAAACAGATGGCAGGCAAAAGTCCTCCATCCGCTGCTGTGTTCTCTTATTTCACAACAATCTCTTGCTGTCCTGCGTGTTTCCCACTTTTGCTGTTTTCGAGTAGAAAACTATCAACCTTTTTCTCTCCATCCTCATCTGTTTCTTCTACGATGTTTGCCTCTCTTTTCCCGTCTCCCTCCTCTTGCTTCCATCTTCACCTGTTTACCTCCTGAATCACACTCTCATTATAAACTCATGCTGTGCAGCCAAATGTTGCTCAAACCCGCCGAGTTTTATTTCCAGTTCTTGTGGAAATCTGAAGTTTTGTGAAAACGTGCACAAAGTGATGCGTTAGACGTCTTGGATGTTTCCACAGGATGGAATGGTTCAGCCATGTTTAGAACGATGTGGTTTGACATTAGATCACTATTTTCACTTTTCACGTGCTGAAGGGTGACGGTTTCTCTGACCTCGCCTTAAATCTGAGCTGAGACGTGTTGCATTGATCTTGTGATACAGAAGTCAATGTAGTCAATACAGTGAGCAACCACCAACATAATGATGTAAATGCATGAAACCGCTGGAGCAGACGCACTAGTAACGGACTTTTTTAGTGACATCTTGGGTTATGTGAAGCTACTGACGTCTCTGCTAAATGAAATTGTAGAATTGTAGACATCTTGGGTGTAGCTGTTAAACTTTGAAAGAAAAAAGCATTTGCATACTCATAGACACTGGACTTCACACATTTTCTGATTATTTTTTTTTAAATTTAAAAACCAAATTTACTAATAGTGTTGAAGGGGATTTTTTTAGGGCTTTAGCGTCCAGGTCAGCTGATTGATTTGTTCTTGTTCAACCAAAATGTCGTTGGTCAAACAACTGCTAACTTTACTTTTTTGAGCTACATCCACAGACTGTCGGGAAATTTTTGGTGGCGGGAAGAAGAAACAACTGGTGAACCTTTAAACGCACCCAACCAGTGGAGACTGCTAGGTGTAATTGGTTTAATATTTTCTTAACGTTGACTCAGAGTCGCCTCAAACTGTTTGAAAGCGTGTCGAAGAAGTGGTTGGTGTGGCTGCATTTTGTTAATGGCCAAAAAGTCAAAGTTAAACTTTGCAAACAGCAGCTTCTGTATCTCGGCTGTTGTAGAAAAAATACCATCATGACCTCACATCATAGAACAAACCCTTGGCTGGATCATTGGTGAATCCATTCCTCTGTAATGGGGAGAAGGGCAGCATTGGTCCAGCTTCTTTCTTTAGAGAATAACAAGAACGACACCTTATTTATAACACGGCAGTGAACACAGAACTCTTTTCCAATCGATTTGTCGTAAACATCTCTACGGGTTTCAGCATCATGGTGTGGTTTTCTACACCGTGTGGGAAACTCCAAGTCCTGCGTTCTCTATGACAAAACAACTTCTGAGAGATGAGAGATCTCACTCGAAGGACTGAAAACACCTTTATTTTTTAACCC